CAGCTCAGCCTTCGGACGCGGTCAAGTTGTGCAACCGTTTTCTATTTTTTGGTGCGATTCGAACAAAATCTCTATTATTTGATGCTGACTGACTGTAAATGCATGGTGTTCTACTTCAATTTACCAAAGCATGGTCAGCAAAGCATGATCATTCGACGATTCTTCACTAGTTTCTTATCTTCTTCTTCATCCTCATCGGAAGTCATGTTCTCACACTCGGTATTGCTCACGGTTGATCACGAACCAGATCAAAATAAATATCGAATTCTGGATCACGAGTTTTATGTATGTATCAGTAGAAAAGTCCCATTATTGCACTTCCAAAATCTGCTTTGGCGTACTGTTGTTTAAATTCTCTTTTTGTGGGTGAGTGAGTATTGTTTAGGGCACATCAACTACGTAGGTGGTTAGTCGTCTACATGTTATGAATGTTATACTCCGAGAGGTGACGGTGTTCCTGCCTCGCTGTAACGGTGACCTTGCGCTGATCTACTCGGCGTGCGGGCGTTCCTCCTTTCTACCGCCTATGCTGGAACAAGCTCCATGCTCTCGACATGAGTAGCAGTGAAGTGCATGTAAGCGTTAGTACTAGTGGTGAAGGGGAAGGGTGTGTTGTAAGGAGAGGAAGGGGCAAAAACGAGGAAGGAAAGATCGCGTGCGGTCCGTGGTCCGTTTGTTCAGGTGCTGTTCCGGCATTCGCCTGGCATTGATCGGAGATGTCTCGGAAAACAATTCGGATCATGGCAGTTGGCCGCTAGAATTCTCCTTCAGTCCGTGGTTTAATGCTCGACCCAGGTATGTACGTTGCTATAAGTGTCGAAAATCCGTGAGTCTCGGGACTCGAACCCTAGGGCCGGGTCTCCTTGTCAAGGAGACTTGAGAGGCAACTGTTGCCAGTGAGCTTTGGCAGCCGGTCTTTCCTTTCGTGGTGTTTTGTGAAAATGCGCGCTATGTTTGGAAAGCGGGCCCCGTTTAGCTCCGGTCGTGGAGCAGGCGCGCCTCGCGTCTTCCCGAGGGCCGTCTCGCTCTCCCTGCACCCGGGTGCCAATGCGCCCTCCCGGGCGATGGCCTCCGATGAATGGCGGCCGGGGATATAGGTCGAACTTCCAAATGGACACGCTTCTACGCTTTCGGCGATGTGTTGATTTAACCTTCATCCGTCCGCGCCGATATAAACACGGCGTGACGGCAGGGTGCCGCTTGTTCGTCGGCGGCGTTGTGTTTGTGAGTAGAACAAATAAACGCGAGTGCGAACGCCCGCGTCGCGCCCCGCCCCACCACGCCGGGCCACTCTCTCGCTCTCGCTTCCGCGCGCTTCCTTTCGCTTCCTCTCGCTTTCCCTTTCGCTCGCCTCGCCATCCCTCTTCCTTCCCCCTCCCGCATCGCTTCCCGTCTTAACCTTCTCTAGACTGCTCTATCTTTGTCTCCAAGGTTTTTCGTTATATATGCTCATATAATCCGGAGGCAGTTGCCAGTAGGATGGAACGAAATAACGAAATCGATAAAATCTTTTAATATGTAAATAGACATGAAAATTTGTGAGTTGGTTTCCGAAACTGAGTTTTCCTCATTTCTTCTTTGCATCCGGCGGCAACTGGGACTGACACCAAATTAAGAACCAAGCCAGCGCCCGTCCCTTTTCCATTCACACTCCTCTCGGTTCCTTTAGGGCTGTTCGAGGCCATTGACTCCCGTCCTACTTACATGTGGATGAAGATACCTCAACAGCAATTCTTCCAGAAGGTGGAATTCATTACCGGCGTAGTTGAGGATTGATAGGTGGGGAGACAAATTACTCTACTAAAAGTGTTATGATCATTTGAATATGGCTGGTGGAAAGTTTTTCGCGTGAGCCGTTTTTTTCGCAGTGTATACACATTTTTACTGAAATATTTTAAAACTTATGTCTACAATTATCACACGTATTGCCACTGGAACCTATTTTCATCGCAACTGTTTATACAGATCTTTGTTGCGTTTCTATTCACTCTTTCATTTTATCTAGATTTATTACTTCCAGTGAAAGCCGCTCACAGTAATTAATTAGAATTTATCAATTCGCTAAATAGACGAGAAAATGAGATTTATTTTATCCCTGATGCTTCTCATGGTTTGACTCGATTTCTCGTGGTATATCTTCATAATTTTTCATATTAAGAGAATTGAAAGTTGTACTGTAAATCATAGAAGGTGCGATACAAAATTTCCCGAGAACAATAAGTTTACTTTTTTTCTACTTCGTAGAAAGACAACGTTATGTCTTGATGCAGAGAAAATGCCGATTTTTGTTTTTTGAGAGAAACCACCATTTTGCGAGTCAATTTTTTTCTCAAGTAGTATCATAATATGGCTCGCTTAATAATGGTATAGTACCCCTTTCATTGAAACCAACGGATTTTTTAAATTTTACAAAAGTTCATTTTTTAACCTGGCTTACTATTTCAATATTGAAGCTAGATAGTTCTTTCCTAATACAATTTATTCTACAATATTCGATCAGTTCATGTACATATTCTTGAAAATATTAGTAGTTTTCGCGAACTTTTGTTATAATGTTATAATCACCTCAACATTAAGAATTTATTCTAACAACTAAGCCGAAGCTGCCTCGGTGACGGGAATAAGGCGATTCCGACCGCTCGGGTTTGTATCTCATCCTGGGTAAATATTTTTTCAACTCTTGGCAAGAATTGAGCCCATTGGATTTAATGGAAGAAACGAATTTTTATTTAAATTTTAGAATCCTCAAAAATTGAATGTAACTCTTTTTTAAACTCTCGCGGTTTGTTTGGTTAAGGTTTTTTAAGCAGATGACCGGTAGTACCATAGAAATTGAGATATAATATTACCTAACCGTTACCAATAATAGGGGAAAGCACTCGCACTTCTCCCCATAGTACATCACGCAATTTTTAAATGTTTTAACGTCAAATACATAAGTAAATACATAAATAATATTGTAGCACTACTTAGAATTCACTACGTTGAGTATTTTTACTTTCTCGTCTTACTTCGTACTTACGGTGAAAAGAGAAAGTATTGTAATACTGCTGCAGCAATTGGCGATTTTTCGACAGAAAAATTCAGTTTTGGGCCCTAGCATTGGAAAAGTAGATAAATGAGTGGCATCTAATTACAACTACAGCCTTGAAGATATACGATAATTTTCCTTTAATGAAATCTGCTGTTTAAAGATCGGTTTTGAAATAGTCTTGTACAAATGTTGAGAAATATGAATTGTATTCACGTATTTTTTCGTGAAATATAGGCATTTAAAAAAAAATATTTTCTCAAAAACCGTTCCAATGTTTTTCTTGTAAGTTCAGAGTGATTACTGAATTAAATATGAAAATTCTTTTGATATAATCTTAAAATTAAATTCCTAAATCCTTTAAATTTGATCATCATGTGGTATCAGAGGACGGTAAAAAAGCTGGCGCTAGTCCCTTTTTCGGCGAACACACAATATTTTCGAAAATTGCAAAAAGATGTAATAAAAGTATAATATTGAAGAAAGAGATGTTTGTCTTAGATGAAATCTGTTCCAAAAAAATAGATCTTTAAAAAAGGTCATGTATTTTATTTTGAAAGGCGAGTAATTTTCACGTAATGTATGTTTGAAGGTCCTGCAATCTTTTTAAAAAATTTCAAAAAGTGTCCAAATATTTCCTTTAATTTTTTTTCACTGATAAATTAAAGGACGTTTAAAGAAAAGACAGTTATTTCCGTTCAACTTTCTGAATTTTCGAAAATTGCCATCACTAGAAATAATGCTAGAAAGTATGTGCTGTTGAAGCATCTTTAGTTTCTTCTACAATATTTGGTTAATCTATTCGCGAATACGCATTAAACAAATCACATCACAACGTATATTCTATCGTAAATTCTATAATTCAAATAAAGCATTTAAAGAATATGACCTAGGTTTGGAATATTTTTTAAAATGACACGATGTTTTTAATCACGACAAAGATTTTTTTTAGTATCTAGCAACGAAAATTTAATCTTTGTGCTAATTCGGTTGTTGATACTGAGATTAAAAGATGGTGAATCTCGGTTTCAGGATCCCGGTTGGTGAAGGTTGGAGAAAGGGCTGACTGAAGCGTAGAAGAATGTATTTAGATTCCGTAGTTCCCGTAACTGTAATAACCCTAGTTCGACCTCAGTAAACAACCTGTAGCATCTTTGGCGCTTGACAGTTTCGATAATGCCAAACTTCTATTACTCATAAAACTACTGGGTGCGGTTTAGTATGCAATACCTTATTTTGAAGAAAACAAACAAACAAAAAAGATGCAAATAAATCATCCCATTTTAACAAGTACTTTGATTATTTTTCCTGTAATGTTTGTTAAATAATATATTATCGCAACGACTCTTATTGTAGTATGTTTGATTTTACTTCTTCGTGAAACTAGTCACAGAGGGGACAAAATCTTGTTTTACTTAAATTGAATACGTTTCTGTTGCTGACTGTCATTTTAAAGTTACACGGTAGGCAACCAGAGTATCCAAAATATAATTTATTCCTTATCATTGATGTCTGAAAAATTTACCAATTGTGACTGCATCTTTCCTTTTGACGTAAATTGTTTTTGACATGTGGCATTTTATAATTTGAAAATATCAATGAGTTCTTTACATCTAATTAATATTTATGTACATTTCTTGATATACATAAATTGTTAGATGTAATTGTTAATTTTAGAATGCAGAAATATACTTTATAAGACTATTCAAAATTCGCTATTAATAAAATCTCGTTTTGACTTAATTTTGTTGTATTGAGTTTTCAGATAAAAATGTTTCGTTTCCTAGCTCATAGATCTGTTTAATTTTCTATTATATTTGCAGTGCATGGTAGTTGGAGTAGGCCTTCTCTCTCTGGTGATTTGCAATGCCTGCTCGCTCTGGCAGTTTCAGCGTCCTCCGTGTGGCCAAGAACGATCAAATACTCCCCTCCTCCCAGTGCCTGGCGGTTTACTACATGTGTGAAGGTCATGGCGCAAGAATGTTTGCCAGAGTCCTACGTTATGCGCACGTGGAGGCCATATCCCGTCATGGCGTGGATCCTGTGGGGCGCGCGCTCAGGCTATGGCAAGAGTAGGTGGCGGTGGCAATTTTCGCTCTGCTGTTCGGTCTCAGAGAAATAATATGTAAAGATGTTGCAACTTCTGAGACCCTCCAAATATTTTTTATACCGATATGCATCACCAGCACTTCATTGTTGACTCCTGACAGTGTGAGGACGTCTTAGACAGAAACGTCCTAATCGTACCGTTGTTGCAGATAATTCGAATGAGCAGAAAAATAAGTGACGGCAACTGTGAGGGTGTTTCATTGCAATTATAGCATTGATGTTTGAGATAAAAATGAAATTGTTTCGTAAAATGAACATGAAAAGGGATACATGGTCAGCTTTTAGTCTCCTTAGGAATGCATTGCGTATGTATGAATTGAGTAAGACTGCTCTACAACTTTTTCTGAAAATAACTTTCTCAAAAGAAAGTGTTTTATTGTTTTTAGCTTCTTGCTGATGGAGTAATTGCGCAAGACAGAATGTGAAACACACTGTCGTGGTTTCTAACGAGGGGCTCATTTGACATGTTTATCCAATACACAAGGGTTGTGTTGACGGGATTTTTAATTGGAATTCTTTTTGGGGGCGCGGGGGTATTGTATTCCTACAGAAGCAAACTGGTTGATTTTGATGTTATGAAAGCAAATTTTGCGTCTTGAGGGAAACATTCTATTTTTTGTCCTTGGAGCTAGATATTTCGTGTGGGATTCAACGATCGCCGATTTCAGTTCTGTTACGTTCTTTGAGAACGCATGACGGTGAATTGGAGAAGAGCACTGTCGGTGGGTTGTCGCTCGCGACCGAGGCGCGGGATTCTCATTTATTTCGGGCGCGCACTATTTTCGCCTCTGGAGGGAATCGCCTCCCGAGTCGAAAGCCGCCCTTTGATGCCCGAGATTTTTGCGTGAGGCGACCCGCCGCCGTTTGCAGACCCTCGTAATCGCGGGCTTTGCCCAGCTGGGCGGACTTGTTTTGTATTTATAGTGGAAACCGTCTAGAAATACCGGGGTCCCGCGTTCCGTGACTCGTAACCGCTGGGACGGTGGAGGAGGGGAGGTAGCAATGAGACACTTGCAATTTCGACGGCGCGTTGCCAACCTGCAAGCCGTGAGATTGGCTGACAAGTCCAAGAAGTTTCTTCGAGAATTCCTTTTGTGAATTTTTGTACGTATATTATCGTCCCATGGAAAGACAATGTGGACTTGTGATTGTGTTGGAATTTGTAAACGTTAAATCGTAATTAGGTAATGTAATCGTTATTCTGTTTTGTCTGTAATTTTCGCGTTTAAGAATAACTTCTGGGTGCCAGTTCTGTGTGGCATCGTCAGATTCTGTGAGAGTTAGTTTGTTTAAAATGCTGATTTTTTTGATGACAAAGCGTTATTTGTTTAGAATATTTTGTGACTATTCGATTGTTTTTGCTCTTGAATACAACGTATTGCATTCAGATCTGCCACCGGAGAATGTAAGAAAAGTATTATGGTTCATATAACTATTTCGTTTAAAATAAAAATTATTACTTTAATTCTGTATGCTTCACCTTTTCCACGGAACAAAGAATGTTTCCATATGTGTAGTCGAAAATGTTATAGTTAAATGAGTAATCATATCCGGGAGAAGTATATTTGAAGATCGACACAGTTTGCACATCCACCCGAGGTTGACAGCATAAAGAAATAGCTACTAAGTTGTGAAAGAGTTCTTTTACGAATCGTTTTTGAAAGTACAACGCACCAAAGCACTCACTAATCATGCAAGATAAAAGGACAAGAAAGAAAATAGTGAAGTGAAATTACGTACTTCTTTGTACACATGCGTGCAAATGTATTGCCCAACAGTTCTCTTAAAGATGCAGAGATGTTGGATGGATTCCAATACCGAATAATCTTGAAATCAAGCAAGAGTAACATCTGAGGTATTTTATTGCATAAAGTTTTTTGGCATATATTTGCGAAAGTCTAAGGAGGATATGTAGAATAGAGTTCGTCGATAAATAGAGCTTAAAATGTTCAAGACTTGAAACATATTTTAGTAGATGTAACATATCGTAGAGATTTTTGAATCAGCAACACAGTAGCATTTGCCCAATTTTCCGGTTTTTATATCTGAATGTGGTTTATTTCGCGTTGTAATGGGAATATTTCCAGAAAGGTACCGAAGAGTTGACAGATAATGATAGCCTTTCAACTGATAATACTAGTTTATCTTAAAAATAAACTTGGATGAGATATTCTGAGTTTTGATTTGTCTTCCGAGTCAGAGGTCCGTGCTCGATTACTTGAGAAGGGTTTGTTGAAATGGAGATAACTGCTGAGTTCCATTTACTTAAGGATCGAATTTATCGCTTCTGATAATACGGAATGATACTTTGAAAATCGATACAAATGTGAGAGTACTTCAAAATATGTTGCGGCCCTTCGATGTACTTGGAAGTTTATTTTAGCATGTTAATATGAACTGATCTTGTGCTTTTTAATTTTATTTAATAAATGATCTTACAACCCATGCTGTTTTGAAGACAATTGAATTTTTGTGAAGTTTCATTTGTTTTTTAATGGCAAGAAACGTGAAGCACCTACAAGAAAAAGAAATAAATCTATAGGAGGTAAAATAGGCCTGTGCAATGAACTGGATTGGAAAACGGCCGGTCGCCAGAGTTACTTCCTCCCTTCACTCCTCAAAACCTCTTTTCCCTTTGAAACCTCCCCGCCTCGCCGCTCAAAAATCACCACGCCATCACTTCGGAGCACTTCAATTGCGCTTCGCGAAACATTCCTAAAGCAAGTTTCCTAAAGCGGTTGCCTTGGAAATCGAGATATGACAGATCAGCTGTGTATTGAAGTTGGGGATGGAGTTATCCGTCGCGCGCGAAAGGATCATCAACGTACGGCCATGGGGCTTCTTCCGCACGAAACGTAACAGCCCGTAGACACAGCCGTGTGATGACGAGCGCTTTCATGTTGCCTGTGCCAGGAGACTGTCTCATTAGGGTTAACATGCAAGGACACAAGGGGTCTCTGACGGATCGCTCTGCCATCAGGGCATCCAGAATCACACATAAAGTGGCGTTCACACCGTGGCTCTAGAATGTTACTTTTTCCTTCAAATATTTCGAATCGTATGATTATTTTAAATCGAGATCCATCCTTAAAGATGTAAAAAAACACTATTAACCTAAAACATTTTATTAACTGAAATGGAGTGGTATTTGGTAAAATATTTTTTTTAAATTCATTTTTGTTTCTGTTTACAGAATGATGTAAAAAATGTTAAAAAATGAAAACGAAAGATCCAATTGTAAAGTTAATCTTTATGATTTTCTTGATCGAATAACGATGAAAAAAGAGAGAATTATTAAAAAAACTTCAAAATGAATGAGATTTTCGACATGTCATCGAAAAATTAAAAGAAAAGCATTGTAGTAAAATATACGAATTGCACCGATATTTTCTCAGTTGAACGTAGAGATTCTAGCACTTAAAGAAGATTAAAAGCATAAAAGTATGACCTTTATTCCATTTAGAATCATTAGCATACGTCAGTTTCGAAAGATGCTTATCGTCGAATTGATTTTTTTTAAGGTAAACCTTCCAGTGTGTTTCTCAACAAAGGTAAGTCTGAAAACAACATTGGGGAAGTGTTGCAGTTTTGTTGCATAACGCATAACGCATGGATGAGCATGTGGTGAATGATGAGTTGACGACGTGGGCTTGTGTTGCAGGGCGGCCGGCGCAGCGGCCCGCTCCTCGCCTGCAGCCCCAGCAGCGGCAGCGGCTGCGGCGATGAGCCAGCGCTTCGGCTGCTAGCCTGCCCGCGCCCGCGCCCCGCCCCGCACTCCGCACCGCCCCCACGAGCGCTGGTCCTGCCAAGGTGAGGCCTTCGCTGCACTGGCTGGCCGACAGCTGGCGCCTTGCTTTTCGACTTTGCTTTCGGGCCTCATCTTTTTAATCACACGATTTGTACAAATTAGTTCGATTAGTTCAAAATTCTGCCGTTGCTAGTTTGCGTTTCAATATGTACGTATTTGACTACGTTAGGGACGTTAAATTGAGAAAATTTATAAATAATAATAATAATAATAATAATAATAATAATAATAATACTAAGAATTTATATGATACCGAATTATTTTGGGAATTAAGTAAAAAATATCAGTTTCATAAATATATATATATATATATATATATATATATATATATATATATATATATATATATATATAAAAGAATGAAGAAAATTTTAATCATTAATTTAATACCATAAAGTTTTAAAAAACTATGAGTAATGCAGTGAAGTACAACCTTTCTTGAACTTCGAAATCCCTACCTCCTCTCTTTTACTTGAGTAAATTTGAAATAAATATAGCAACGAGCGTCTGTGGCAACATTTGGTTACTTATTCGCTCTCGTCTAATAGAAACTGAATTCATCTACATAAATGCTACATATTTTTTTATGCTGCTATTGAACTAACTAAACTCTCCAGTAACACTTCACAATGAAGTATTTGTCTGTGATGGAAGAAAATCTAGTTTTTTAAGTTAGACGTTTTTGTGTTGAACAGTTCAGTAAAAAGCAACAGAAAAAAATAACATTGAAGAAAAAGAGAACAAAGAGGTCTCGAGCAATACTGAAGTTAAATTACGCTGTAGAGCCAAAGAATTGGTATAGCTATGCGTATTGATATAAAGTGATCTGGAACCAATCATCGCTGCGGCTGCAAAAAGGCCGTGCAAGAACAGAACCGACGACGACTACGGAGAATCAGTACACGCGACAGAAGTCTAGGATGCATAGGTAGGGCCTCCGAGACTCTAACATTTTTTTATTTCACTTTTTGCTCTTCACAGTTACATTTCTGAGAGCTTTCCCTACGTATAACCTTTTTTCTATCTACTTTTATTTTACTCACTGGCAAAGGAAATTCTTAGTCTTAGAAGTTATAAAGGTAGGTAGACCTTGAAACTTGATTCTATTATGTCAATGCCTGTGCGTGGCTTTTAAAACCCTATTAATAGTTATTGAAATGAATGTTTAACATTAGGAGATGACGTATTGAAATTATTAAAACTTGAAGTTCTTAAGAATAAAAAAAAAAACATTATGTGCATATTTTTCGAGAACGTTTTGCAAATGTATTCATGTAGTTTCCCCGGTCCATGCAATCTATACTTAATTTAACTCTGGGCAGCAATGTTTGTCTTCCCTAAGGAGGCAAACAGGCTCAATACGCTTTGTTTCCGCAGTATGGGTTGCGCCCCTGTATTCTCATTTGATAAAGCTTGACATTATATTTGTTCCTCAGTTATGTCATTTGTTTCTTCCAATGAATAGAATAATTTAATGTTAACATGTTACTTTCCAAGTGTGTCGTGTTGCCCACTTATTTTGGGTAAAATGAATTGTATGGTTGGTACCCGTATTTCTTTGTTCTTGCGTTAAAAAGGTTACATTGTAAGATATAAATATAAAATCAATATGTTTGTCTCATATGTATTACTCATGTGTGAAATTAGTTTGATTGTTTAAATGTATGTGTTTTTTAAAGTACGGGTTTCAGTATCAATATTATCCTAGCTCATAATAATGCCTGTTTTGCACAAATTCTATCCAATTGTTGGCCCAAGAATGGACAACAAATGACGTTTGGTGTTTAAACTATCTAATTTCTGGTTGATTAAACGGGGCCATCTTTCACGTACTGTATGCATCAGGATGCAAAGATTTCTTCTGATTGTGGCAGTAGCGCTGGTTTCGCGACGTTGAAATCAAGGCGAATCCTTAATGTTTGAAACTTACATTTGGGTGGTTGTGACGTTTGTGTTGTGTTTAAGTTGTGACATTTCGTGACGATGGTGTCGTATGATTTGCGATAGTTGCGAACACAACGGATGGGTGCTAACCGTACCAAAAAGCTCTCAAACATTCACGTTGTGGTGGCGCCAAGAATTATTGAGTTATTGCAGGGTGCTCAGAGAAAACTTATATCTAGGAGGCGAATTTTAATAAAATGTCACTTTTCTATTTTCACTGTAGAAAACTACCGTGTGGAATAGAAATGAATTTGGTTATAACAAAAGGAAATTACCACTTTTATGTATTCTTTGCATTTTTCTTTGCTTTTGACTAATCTATTTTTACTTTTTCATCGATTATAATATTTTGATAGTATTATTCTCCATAGAATTCCTGAGTACTCTTTTCGATTTCTTCGCTCAAAAATTGTAATGTTAGCCGTTGTGAGTATGTAATTCGAGGTTCCTGTGACGTCTGTCGGCACCATTGTCGGTTCGGCTGATTTCGCGATAACTAAAGACAGAGATTTTCTGGTAAAGGACAGTCCAAACCAAAAGGTTGAAAGCTGACTTCACTTGAATAGAATACTCGATTACATCAGTAACGTATCCAAATGAGTTGTTCATCCGAACTGGTTTTGACCACATTTTTTTCATTTTCCTTTGCTTGTAGGGCATTTTAAAAACGTTCTACGAGCATGCTAAGAGCAAGCACATTCTATGCAAGGTGCCACCAGCAGCGCTGAGGTTACTGTGCGGATTACAGACAAATGATGGAAGTTTCATGTTTTTGTACGAGCTTACAAACGTACGAGAAAGAAAACAAAACAAATATATACACTTAATAATCTACTTACACCCTAGCTCTGATAGACCTACTATCCCCTGATCGCGGGAGCGATCCAAAACCCGATTGAAGATTGTTTTGATTGTGGCATTCGCCACTCCTACTTTTGAAGCGCGCACAAAGCCTAGCTTCCGTGACCGGATGTCACGCTGGGACACAAAGTCCGTTCTGGCGCACCAACGGCTGGTTTGCCTCGATCGCAGGAGCGATCTTATCCGATTGAGAATCGGCGTGAATCGTGGCACTCAACCACTCTTCACCTCGGAGCACGCACACAGCATCGCTCCCCCGTGACCGCAGTCACCCAAGGACATAAAGTCCGCAGGCTTCGTCAACTAATGACTCCAGCCTCGCGAGCCTGGCTCGCATATGCACCGTCTAGGCGCCAAGTTTTGTGCACACGCACGAGGTTCTCCCACCGTCTCCAGAACCTGCCTACTGGCTCCGTACACTCTGTTATATAGGCGAGGCCCACGTGACCTCCTACGTCACGCCACCCCCTCGCTTGTTATAACAGTGAAAAGCTTCTATAAGCCGGAAGACACCCAAAGCCTTGTGTCTCCCGTCTCCGCGTTCTTCCCTTTACGGAAAAACCCTACTTCCTGTGGCGAGACTAATCCGCAACCAAGCGTCCCCAAATAGATGCCATGAGGCACGCTGGCTAATACGTTACAATACATTAAAATAAATAGACGTTTTTTTAAAAAAAATATATTTTAAACAAAATGTTGATTTTAAGCAGAAATATTTTTGAAATTAGTAAGATTACACAATTATTTGTAAAAATTGTCTATAGCGCATGTCTACACTTTCACCCTAATTGTCTAAGTCAGGCATGTGAAGGTCGCGGGCAAGGTAATAACCTTAGAGCTCGTGGGCACTGCGTCCAGAGAAATTGGCGCGAGATTTGAAAGGAAGGGTTGTACAATGCTACGGAATGCCGGTACGTCACTGGATACTTGGCCCATGACAGCCTTTGGGAGACGTTTCTTACCAGTTATTGTCACAAATTTAGCTATTTTAACTACTATTTTCTTTTTAAGGCAAATAAATGATCAATTAAAATGAAATAATACATCAGTCATATTTCAAATTCTCAATTGAAAGTAAAATAAAGGGCTTTGAATGATAAGTAACTTGATTTTGTAATCATGTTTACTTAAGAATGATATAAAAGCATGAACTTTCTATGTTTAGGTTAGAAGGTTTCACATTATTGCTATATACAATAAATAACTGAACAATTTAATAATTCATCACTAAACGAAAAAATGAAAGAATTCTCCATTCAAAAATATTCCTGTCACTTAGCAAAGATGTTTATATAAGGAGAATTAGTAAGAAAATAAACATCAAATAGTATTGAGTAGTGAAGAATATAAACGTAATACAATTCTCGGTTATTTGATTAAAAAAAGGTGAAGTCTGTATTCACTGCGCTGCGCCGCGCCTGCTTGTACACCCCTTTCTAGATTTAAGGGAAATGAGTGTGGAGTCGGGGGAAGTTGCCCGTGCCCTTCTCCGCGTTCTTCAGCGCCGGGCTCCCCAGGCCGTGCGTAGTATAATGGATCATTAGTGAATTCAACTCGGATCTCACAGCCTGCAAAAACTATGTTAATATCATTTAAAAATGCAACCTGTCTGTACGATTTGTTGTATTTCAAATTAGATATTCGGAGCTCATAGTTTATTTTGGTATCACTTCAATATTAATATTTTAGGATAAAGTACAAACATAAATCTTATTTAATACAAAAATTAAAGCTAATACATCTAGCTGCCACAACCTTATGCGATTAAAATGTATTACTGTTTGCTACAAAATCGATTTAATTTCTTTTGATTAAAAACGTTTACTTATGCCGCCAAGAGGTTGAATAGTTTAATAGCTGATTGACAATTATGTAGAAAGTTTCTTTAATCCATACTTTTAACTGAAAACTGGGTAGTATTATGTAGATTTTGTGGTTCTTAAATACGAAAGCTCTGTTAAAATTGGTCTAGTAGCACTTTTAACTTTCATTGAGTCAGAAACTGGAAAATTTTTTTTCATGTTTAAACGGTATTTACAAAGCCATTCTCACCCATTTCAGATGTTAAAACTTTTCTCGGCCTGTAGGGAAGAATGCGCGAAACAAAATGTTTAGTATAAAATTGAGTGGTGAAGTGATGGTGATGCTGAATATTGATAAATCTGTCTTTTATTTGGTTTTAAATATTATCTACTCG